GCTAGATAGTGCCCCAACTGGGGACTCCTTTGTTCTACTGGGGGACTTCAACGCCCACGTGGGCAATGACAGTGAGACCTGGAGAGGGGTGATCGGGAGGAACGGCCTCCCCGATCTGAACCCGAGCGGTGTTCTGTTGCTGGACTTCTGTGCTAGTCGGATCACAGACAGAACGAGAGCAGAGGCCTGGGTTTAACTGGTAATCAACAGTCCGGGTCGAGCAGTGTGTTCAGCTGATTGTTCAATAGGCTGCACCTGCACGCATACCAGCGCACACACACCTAGGTCATGCCCACCCGAGGAAAATAGGGAAAGGGAGAGGGGAGGGGGGCTGCAAGGTGTCTCGGTGGTTAGCACCGTTAGCGACTCACAGCTAGAAGGTCGCCGGTTGGCGTCCCGGTGAGGACACCCGGGATCTTCCTGCATGGAGTCTCCATGTTCTCACAAGCATGAGGTCAGGGAAGTTCTGCAAACAAGAGCTCACATATGAAATATAGCACGTCATGAAAAGGTGGCATGTAACCAGGGTCTGAATATCGGCTTCATCTGGATTCCCGCTGTTGTAGGTTGGGATGGAAATGAATATGTAGATGTACTAGTTACCAACAGCAGATTTACAGATTTCATAAAGCAAAGCAGAGGTTGAAACCACCATAAAGGTCCAAAATAAAAACAACATGCCAGGAATCATTATCAGGGAAGACATCTGTACAGTATTCAAAAGCACGAGTGTGTTAGAAGGAGGAAAAACATTCAAAAATCAGAAAACAGTTCACATGATAAAGACAAACACCCAAAGAGATGATGTTCAGCCTGCAGGCAGTTCAAGTCCTGCTGATAAAGACGCACTGGAGCTCACTGTAGTCTCATTTCAGCAGCGTTATGAAGAACATGTGGCCACATTGTGAGATTTCTGAACCGTGGCTTTATGGAGAGAATTTAGAACATCTTAGTTTATACTTTCTTGGCTGCCAACGTCCTGTTCCAACATCCGGGCCGGTAGGCGGCAGCACGTGAAGCTGGTTTACAAGCGCCACTCAGAGCAGAAGAAGAAGAAGAAGAGCTGCTTTGTTTAAGGGGACAGAGACCGTCTGGATAAAGACTGCTCAACAGAAACTGTGGAAGTCCTCCGTGTTCCTTTTTTACTGAGAGCCACAATGTCGGGACTGCAGAGTCTGAAGGTTTTCATCAGCCAGCGGCTCACGGCTGCTGTGGACGAGGTCCTGGGACACTTGGAGCGAACCATTCGGGAGTACGAGGAGACGGAGCGGCGGCACCGGGACCTGCTGCTGCTAACGGGGCAGAGGAAGCAGCGGAGGGCAGGTTGGTCCAGAGCTAAGGGCGGCTAACCCGTCATACACAGCCGGTTAGCCTGTTAGCTTCTGCTGTTAAAGTCAACAGGATGATAGCTTGTTAGCTTTTGCTGTTAAAGTAAACAGGATGATAGCTTGTTAGCTTTTGCTGTTAAAGTCAACAGGATGATAGCTTGTTAGCTTCTGCTGTTAAAGTAAACAGGATGATAGCTTGTTAGCTTCTGCTGTTTAAGTAAATATATGAT